TAATGCCTTTCATTAACCACGCAACACAAAATCTATAGACCATCAAATATGCATGATATACCAGTGACGGACCTTTCGTGCATTCTTCACACGAAACTGGCATTTCAGTACCGACACACGTGTTGTCTGAAGTCCTGGCGGGCCCAAAACGACACCTAAATCTATAAGAAATTAAAATGCAGGAGCATGAAAGTGAAAAACCTAGCTTAACTCTGTCCCAGAGCTAACCTATCAGTCCTCCTTTCGACTTTGTACTCCGCCGAGAGTAGTGAGTTTTTAAACTATACATTCGTAATGCAAATCAAAAATACAGACAATTCTACCTTTATATGATGTACAAAACAAGATAAGCGTTATGAATGACAACAAAAGCACCACAGATTCATCAGACCTCTCTCCTTTGACATAATTATGTGTTCCTTTTTATTATAAATACCTGAAGGGTCATTTACAAATTTTCAGCTTGCTTTTTTTAAAAACTAATTTTAATGTTTACAATTCCTAACTAATGCAATTATAATGATCAGGAAAAATTTTATCATCATTTGTTAAATTACCAAGGAGGTACAGAATTTAAGATTCTTCATTATGTAAACCAAGCTCCTTTCTTGTTTTTATTCACATATAGAAAAGAACGTGCTTATAACAAAACGATACTCATCAAAACACTTTTCCACATCCTTCTTTTTCATAAGCATTTGTTTCTCCTGTATGGAGCTGTTCGTGGACTTTCAAAGAAGCTCTACTTTTGTACGTTTTACCACATGACGAACACGTAAAAATCCTGCTATCTTTGTGTGTGTCAAGGTGAGAACTGAGATCCCACTTTCGTTTGAATTTAGGATTACAAGTATCACAAGTAAATGTAGGTGTATTGTTTGTTTGTTTCAATCGAGAATGAAGTTGAAAAGCCTTTATGCTTTCATAATACGTTCATGACCAGTCTCTGCTGTGATCTCCACCTGTGCGCCAACATAACAAAATTCTTTATCTTCCATAATACATTCATTTATCGCTGTAATTGAAATACTCTATTATTGTATATATGAATATGTGCGTGTGTGTAGATACGACATTTTTGAAAAATAATAAATAGCTAGAATGTATACTCAACAAAAAAAGAAACGCATATTGTTTTACTCGTCAAAGAAATTTTTAAAATGTACATGAAACAACTATTTTTTATATCATTGGATACCTGTGACCTATTTAAAGGACAACACGGGGTTTTAAAACCCAAGTGTTGAATTATCTCCCTTGATTAAACATGTTTATGAAAGTAGTGTTTTTCATGATTTCTTCTAAATAAGATGTCTATTTTCATTGATATTTTGGATTTAGAGAAACTTTTAACACTTCTATTAAACCCATATTTAAGATTTGATTGCGGTGTTAATACTGCAATGCCACGCCAAAACAAAGATGAATACAACCAGGCTAACGATGATACTAAATGGAGTTACGCAACAGGAAGTTGCAACTGTATTTGAAATAAATCAATAGGCTTTGCAACCTTAAAACTAACGTCTGAAGACCACTATCTGACCATCCACAGGTAACCACAACCAGGCAGGACCGTCACACCCCCCCCCCTTCATCACCTCATGCGATTCAGAACTTGCTGTAAAAACTGCTGCTACAATTTGGATGAAAAAAATCAGCATAAAAATGCATAAATTGTTCGCATGAGACTAAAATGAGATGATATTCCCCCACGATATCCGTACATTGGAAACCCACTAGCATTGAGATTTTGCACAGTACATATTGTTATGTCCCTTGAATTTGGGGGCAATGAAAATGACCTCAACTTGACATTTCAATTTGCAACATTGATTTTTATCACAACACACTCTAAAATCGCTTAAATAATACAAGGTTTAAACTGAAAACTTAGAATTTCATATTATTCTGATTATGCGTTTCTTTTTTTGTTCAGTATATGTTGTCACAGCTGAAAATAATATTTATACCTATATTATTTTTTTAAAATTAAATTCGTTATTAAATAATTACATATAAAAAAAGCTATATACATGTATATATAACAGATTTGAAAAAAAAATTCTGAAAGTCTGTTCAATTTTTATTACAGGTTTTTTTCTTTGTTCTTCCTTTTCTACATTATTAGTACCCTTTTCCGAGTACAACAATATTTTTATATAAAATATCATAATCATGCTATCAATAATAAAAGTGTTTTTATTTTTGGTTATAAGAGATCTCTTTTATAATCCGGGTAAACATTCATGCGAGCATGCAGCTGAATTGTTATAAACGTACACAATGAAAATAAATGCCCCTCTCTATCACCCCTGTTACATCGGTTGTTGATATCAGAGTTATCTCTCCTATTTTTATTTAAACAAAATACAAATATGTTGACTGTCGTTTTTACACATTTTTGCTAGATTTGTAAAACGTGGAAGATGTATGTTAAGTTTCAACATTAGTGCAAACAATTTAACAAAAGTTTAAGTAGTATGCACCGCTGAATCAATGTTAACATGTGATCGACGCGATCGCGATGTATATTGAGAGTGGTGGAGCGGACTTAAAAAAAGGTAGACAATTTTCCCTTGCAATATTTTAACATTAAATCCCTGTCTAAATGTATATTAAAACCGGTTTACTTTTGTAAATAAAATTTATTTATTAACCCCCTTCCCAGCAGTCACGCATTTTAACGCATATACCATTTCCTAGTTCTGACGCAAAATCACGCATTTACCGTTTCCCCGCAATCACGCATTTTCAAGCATTTTAAAAAGTTAATAAAATCTTCAAATTATTGCCAAATTCCAACAATCTCACACTTGTCTTATCTCATGAAATAAGAAAAATTATTTTCTAATTAAAATATTACGCTATTATATTATTTACCCTAAACTTTAGAGTTACTTGTACCCTACTATAAAGATCTTGCGGGGAAATGATAACGTAATATTTTTATGACGTGAGGATTCAGTTTATTTTGCATAACAATTTTATAAGTTGTAAAGTGTTAAGAGTGCACAGATTTATATTCCTATCAGAAAAACACCTTGTCGACAGCTTTCATTTATACATATTATAGGAAAACGACATTGTATTGGTATTATAGATCGACGTATATATTGATATGTTTGTTGAGAAATCAGTTCTAAATATTATTATTTATATCTATTAAAAGCAGTGAATTAGGAGATTCAGATATTGATTAAATTAGTTTATAAATGAAAATAAATTCCACACGTTGGAAACAGCGAGAAAAACTCTGGGGCAACGCCAAACGTCAAAACACGTGGATAAAAAAAAATCTTGTGTGTTTGGTCTTAATGATTAGCGGTGATATCCGGTATGATTCTAGATTCTTGTGGAGAAAACGATTTCAAAAGATTTGACGTTCCTTTTATCGCTTAGTCTTACTTGTTTGACCAAAATGGTTTACTTTGTAATCTCTGACATTGCTATTTTATTTTAAGAGAGGATTCGATCTCAGGAACAACTCTCAAAATATGACAGAATGTTTACTATTATAATTTGTTTTCAAACAACATTGAGATACATTAAATTTCACACGTGTGTTTACCCTATAGGTCAATAACATTTCATCTTTTTCCTACAATTTGACATTGTTACTAGTGTAATATTTACTTTAATAATAGCTGCATGAATATGATGAAATCGAAATCTACATTTTCTACCGAAAAAACAACGGTTTAAGTAATATGAACTTTTGAAGTACATATTCTCATAAGTTTTTAAATCCTGAAATTTGAGTTGATAATGTTTGCAAAATTATGCAAAATCTTATGTGTCAACAGACGAAAACTTTGATATGGCCTTCAACTCGATTTGGATATATCTACGGCGTATTGTCAATTAATAATGGTAATTTCCATTCCTACGTCGATACAATATATATTCTGGCGAGCTTGAGATAAAAGATACCACAGAGTCCGACACTTCTGTTCATTTAAGGAATGACTCTAATTCTTGGCCATATTATCGAGTATAATCTGGTTTGGGTCAGTTTACGCTTTATAATCCGCGAATCTATGTATCAGTTATTACCTCCCCTCGCTTCAAATCACTTCCGTTACTACGATTGTATTATTGCGCGGTAAATTTGAACTTATAAAAGGCAACACAATTTTACATCAAAAGTTGTTTAATTATTTTAAAATTAAATTATAAGGAATGACTCTAATTCTTGGCCATATTATCGAGTATAATCTGGTTTGGGTCAGTTTACGCTTTATAATCCGCGAAGCACACTTTTTCAGTGTGTTACACAGCCACATCTATGTCTGTTTTCTCCTTGTGCAAAATACGGAAAGTCACTCAAAAATGAAGAGTTCTGTCCAAAAGCGAACCCACTAAAACAATTTTAGACTTTTGAAGCTCGACAAAATACGTGGTAACAAATTAAGCATTACGGTTGAAGTTAATTTCCATTAATAGAAATTGAAATTTTTGGCATTAAATAAAATTATCATTTGTTTTAAGGTAGCCGACTGGGATTTTATTTAGTGGCATCTACAATAGCGAAACTCTTTAAGAATGTAAGTACACCTGGAAATAAATCAGCAATATTCGATAGTTAACAAAAGTCCGCGGAAATCTTTTGATTTCAGGGAGGTGTTAGTATCGTATTTCCCTCTGAAAATTATATTCATTTGATTTTCATTTATTTTTTGTCATTACTTCTAACTTGTTTCGTAGTACTTTTTTATTTGAAATTAATTTCTAATATTTTGCAAAATGATGAGTACGCTCTACAATGTTACATATGTCTCGCTCTCCTCTCTTTCTTTGTTTTTTGAAACATGATGTGGACGTTTTTGCGTACAAAAGTACGCCTGGCTACGCGCCTAGGCCCTCATATGAATACAAAAGTAAATCTGTTTATAAGGGTTGGTCGTAATATAAAGAAAGGGTGATTTATTCGAGAGCCGAAATCACTGGCAACCGCTAAGATCTTGCGTTGAAAAGTTGAAATCCCAGAGAGGTAAAATAAACCTCTAGTATATCTATGTGTCTTAAGATTCAATCTCGGAAGATAGGCTACAGATATCTGTGTTTTCATCATTTGAAGCCTTAGAGTATTGAAAAATACCAGGTAAGCCTTTACGTATCAGAAAAACATATAAATTAAAACAAAGCGCATAGTGTCGAACTTTCGTTTTCATGCACAGGCACTTGAAGGTACAGAGGCATCTAATACTTCATGTATTAATAAATTTAGCAAATATACTACCAGCAAGAGGATTCAAAATGACGTTAGGTATAAGATAAGGTCCAATAACAATTCTTATCGAAATTATATAATATAATGTTTAAAAGTCTACTTTCGTTTTAGGAAAACACTGGTGATTCACGACTGGAGGATCTAAATTTCTTCAAATTTTGAAACTCGCTGACAACAAGCAGTTTATATGATCGATTAAAAATAATTTTACTATCTATTGTTAGCCTAACTCTTTTAGAAATTCTTTCATGTTCTTTTATTAAACACATTCTTCTATAGTATGATGATTTTCCCAATTTTAAAAATTCGTGTTCATTTTTCAGATTCTACGGACCCTGGACCCAGTTTTAAATGGTAGAAAAAAACTTGGAGACATCAATTCAATTGGTATTTTCAGAATTAAAATGTTGAAATAAAAATGATGTTTTATTTATGAAAATAAAAATGATGACATTCATTTTCTTGTAAAGGATGCATTGTACATCGCTTCTTTGACAGGCATAACAGAAATGAAATTCTTGTCTGGTAATCATAGTAATACTTAAGAGGTTCCTACCTAATAAGAATTACCTTAAGTTATGTTCAAAACTGTGCCCTAAGCCTACTCTATGTCAATCTAATTAAAGTAAGATGTTAGATCCGCTCCCATACTCGCTACACTAACGATGTTAGTGAAGCGAGTATGCGAGCGGATCTAACATCTAATTTTAATTAGATTGACTCTATGTATATGAATCTTTGTCAATGTTACCGGGTTCAATGTTAATAAATTCTATCTATCAATAACTAAAAGATCTAGGAAAACATATTTACTGAAGACACAACTGCAATGATCTGACACCTACCCAAGGTAATTTAGACATTTAAAAAATTGCACGAGGAAATTCTTTCTTTGGTCATAACTTTGACGTAGAAATAATTTAACCTTAGAAGATCATACTTGTACAACAACCTGTAGTGATTCTTTTTGTTCCTAGGATATAATAGGATCCTTACTTTAGGTCATTAGATCAAATCACCGAGTAAAAAAATTGTTAATTTTATAAATCTTAAAAAATATAATTTTGAAAAACAAATTTTTTGTTTTTGAGGAAGTATTTTGATGTAGTCTTATCGTTTCTACTAAACAAAAGACATAAAAATATACAAACATAACATTCTAACAAGTAAGTAAATTTGCAATATGGCACTCTAGCAAGCATTCTGAAATCAGTGAACAGCATCTTAATTTAAGCAATTTTACTAGTTGCCTTAGTACATGAGGAATGTGTAGTTTTACTAAGATAGTTCTAATTTGTTTGTTTATTATCAAATTTTTGGATTGTTTGTTACATTTCAGAAAAGCATTAGAGGATTACTATGGCCTCTTCCTCTTACGCGTCTACAGAGGAGACGACAAATGCCTGTAGAGCCTGTCGACTTCTCCTTGGTCCGTGTACAGATCAAATTAGGGATGTTTTAGTTCACCATGTACCACCATCAACATTTCCACAAGTCATTAAACAAAAGAGGAGTAATCTTCCCCGTCTGACAGCTCAACAGATGAATCTTATTTTACCCAGAGGTAGTAGTTATACAGGAAACTATGGTGATATGGATTTTTCCTTATTGTACATACTACTGAGGAATATTTGTGGTATACCACCACACAGCAATGGCTGGGGATTTGATCCAGACCCTACAGATCGATCTCTCTCTCTCTGCCAATATTGAGAGAATACGTATTGCCAGAAATCAGTGTGTACATTCTTCTAGTCCTTTCCTCTCCAATGCCGATTTCAACACAGTCTGGTCCACTGTCAGATCTGCAGTTGTGGAAATTGATTCTTTCCTTGGCAATGGGAACAAATTTGAAAGAGCAGTGGACTTTCTGAGACAGGAGACAATGGACCCTGTCCGTGACCTCCATTACATAGAAGAACTAAGGAAACAGGCTGAAGAAGATGAAGAAACTAGAGAACTGGTTCAAGGCCTGAAACGTAATTATAATGACTAATGACTAAGTTTGACTCAACAAAATAAACTTACAAAACAAGCATTTCTCTTTTAATTGCAGGAATAGTCTAATCTACAGCTTTACGTATTTACATTGAATAAAAGTATGTATTTACGAAGTATGCAGCTGTTTTTAAGGGCAGGGTCATCAGAATTTTTTGAATCTCCAAACGTTGAGAATGCCCATTGTTTGTGTCGCATGCGGTGCAGAGCGGTACTAAGGGATCACTTAACCCGGCGTCTGTCTAGCTGTCTGACTGTCACACCTTGTATCTCAAGAACTGCAAGAGACACAGACTTGACGTTTTGCACATTATTGCTTGGCACAATGGTATTTGTTAATTAACATAGGTACCGACCTCGTGACCCTTGACATTATCCTTTGACATTCTTTACTAAAAACCAAAAAGTGGCAATATACTGCATATTTTTGACATTTAAGGGGTAAATCGATGCTATCTAGCATATGCACTGATTGTCATAAAACATGAAAAATGCCAGCATTACAATTCACTTGACCTTGACCTTTGGCGTACTTTACAAAGATTCCCTTGGACAGTTTACGTTAAATTAACTTATGACTTGTATTTTGAGTCGCGGGGTTGTTGAAAATTAAAATTGATACATATTCACAGGATGAAAATCCACCATTCAGTCGACTGAATGCTGGATGAATGGCCACTGAATGGTCACTGAAAGGTCACTGAAAAGACCTTTTCCCGTTACCTTTCCGTGATCATTCAGTTACCATTCAGTGGACTGAATGGCACATACATTTCAGTGATCTTTCCGTGATCATTCAGTTGAATCTTTTTATTTCACTTTTTCCTGGTATAATAGAATTAAATGTATCTAATTCTGAATTAAAAAAATAGTAAAAAAAATAATACAAGAAAAAAAAAATTGCTCCCAAGCCCAGAATAGAACCCTAGTCTCCTGCTTAGGTGTCCGCGACCTTATCAATTACGCTACGTCTTCTTGTTAAGAAATGCGGATTTAAAAACAATTAATTTATAGAAATCGATGGAACAATCAGTTCACCTGTTGTATCGAGGAGCTGCGATGTGTATATATCTTGTATATCTTTTGTATATTCTATGTTAGTTGCGCGGATTTTGGGGACAAACTAATTAATTACACATCTCCTATTGGGATGATGACAATTATCAGAGACGGGCACCCGTTCCTGTGTCAAAGATTTAAGATCATTGTAAATTCTCTTTCTAGAAACTTATTAAAGCAACATCATTTAGAAAGCTAAAATCTCCTATATATTTTATTTCCTACAAGAGGCGTGTATAAACGATTTATTTATTCTTGTAATTAATAATGAATGTAAAATAATGTCTTTCAAAAACTAAATATCCTGCAGTTTTGACAATGACATGATTAAGAAACGAAATTGATCAGTAATACTAGCGATCTTCCAGAAATAGTTTAAATAATATAACTTCTGTCTTATCAATCAAAACTATATATTCCCATAAAAAAAATACAGGTATAAGCACTATAGAATGTTATGCATTTATTTAAATTTTGAATCGGTTATCGGATCATTTTTTATCACTTGAAGAATTTTTGTTTTCTAAATGTAACTAGAAAATTAAAAATCATTTTGAATAAGTCTCACCTATTTCATAAAATCATGATATTTTAAGGTACCTGAATTTGATCATGATAAGTAAAAAAAAACACAATTAAGATTGAATAATAAATCTTTATTCAAAATATTGCTTCCTTGTTAAGGAAAAATATCTGATTATAAAATAATAGGCTAGTGAAAAAATTGCTAAATCAGGGATTTTTTTAGGGTCTCTCTGGGGCCGAAATTCGGCCCCATTCCCAATGCTGAAAAGTGCATGTTTTTCCCAAAATTATACCAAAAAATTCCCAAAATGAAAAAAAAATGAAGTTGCAAATTATTAAAATAAAATAATGAAAAACGGGTGTTATGTTCCCTATGTGCAATGTACGAGCCATCCGAGAAGTTCCAAGAAGTCATTCGGAATACTACGGATGTTTTTATAGCAGGGTCGATGTTGAAAAATTAAAGTCTGGATCGTCATCTGATAAATTAATGTACATCATGGCAGTCTCTCCAGTTTGCATCGGATGGCATTTTTCAGGCTGGGTTGAATTGCTCTTGAGTCTTATTCTTATAAACTGGTCAATCAGTACCGATTAATTGCTCATCAGGAACAAAACTACTATCAACTTTTATTTTAAACAAACTTCTTAAATAAAGGTAAAAAAGATGACAATGTATAAATATGTTCATTTATTTTACAATTTTATCATACTCTGCAGCATTTGTAAGCTTCTGAACTTCAACAGCCGTTTTTATAATTAGCAGTAAAGCTGATAGAAGCCAGTTTCATACAATAAAAGATAAAAAAAATTTAAATAGTTGATTTTTGCTTTTTTTATACCCCCGCAAACGAAGTTTAGGGGGGTATATTGGAATCACCATGTCCGTCTGTCTGTCCGTCTGTCCGTCTGTCCGTCTGTCTGTAGACAAGATTTTGTCCGGACCGTTTCTCAGAAACTGTTGGATGGATTTGTCTGAAAATTTATACACTTATTATTCACCATATGAAGGTGTGCACCTGGGATTTTCATCATGATTGGATGATTTTTCTGCATTTTACAGGCGTGTTTTCTTTTTTATTTAATGATTTTGTTTGGCTCATAACTAGAAAACTATTAGACTTACAATCATCAAACTTGGACAATTTATGCATCTTGGGTAGACAGTGTGTCACGACCTGTTTCAAGGTCACTGTGACCTTTAATTTAAGTGATTTTTTTTTAAAAACTAAGTCTTTAAAATTTCAAATTTCATAATCCTAAAAAATGTAAAAATATAGTTGTACCCTTATTAAAAAATGCTTAATTAAGAAAAATCTTATTTTTTATAATATGCTTTACAGCAAATTCTATAACAAATGTTAATGATTTGAGGGGAATTCAGTTTGTCCCAAGGGCATAATTATCGAGCACTGGTCAAGGAGAATTTTTGATAGCAGAAATGTGCATGTCAAATTAGAGAGAAATTAATGAGTTCATTGTGGGGAGTTAACTGGCAAGAGCATCTCTAGATATAATCTTTAATTAATCTCTTGGGAGTTGGGCAAAAAGAAATGGCCTTATATTTGCTTGTGTTAATTTTAATTGTGAGTTCTTGATGGCTGCAGTTCAGATAAAGATCTTTCAATTGGTGTAATGTAATTAAAACAAATTGATGTTTTAGTGTATGATTAAAACTGAATTAGTATTGTATAATATAATTAAAATCAATTTTACATGTGTTCATTGAAAAAAAATTACATTTCAATTTTTATATATTTGCAACAAATTGCAGTCATGTCTCACTTAGAATTTTATTTTTTTTATTAGACTGTAGCATTTCCATTATTTCATAAAATATGCAATAAACAATTTAAAGCTGCAGATGGATATTTGTTAAGCTCTAACACAGCCAGTTTAGAATTATATGATGTATTATTTGTTTTAATTAATCCCTACACTGTAAGTCTCTTACAGATGTATATGCAATATTTTAAATATGATTTAAGAAATGGAAATTAGATCATTGAAATCTATGTCAATCTGTTAATCAAGGTTACTTAATTTTCTTGCACCCTAACCAATTTATGATTATCGAACAATATTTGATGGACGTATTATGCTGTGGCAAGGCACTTTATTAGACAATAGTGAATACCTCTTACTAGATCCATAAAATATTTCTGAATTGGCACCTACTCTGAAAAACCCAGCGGGGGTATTTGTCCCTATTGGACAGTTCTAGTTTCCTTTTTATTTGTATGATTTTTTTTTCCAAATTTCAATCAAATATCGCTATTTTTCCCAATCTTGACGGCCCCGGCCCCTGGAATCAAAGGGTAAAAAAAAATCCCTGTAAATTGAGACTTAAATATCACTAAATGGTGGCGGAAAGGTCACTGAAAGACGACAAAAAGGTCACTGAAAGTTGAAGGAATGGTCACTGAAAGTAGATGGAAAGGTCACTGAAAGTTGATGGAAAGGCCACTGAAAGTTGACGGAAATGTGTCGGCTGAATGGTGACTGAAAGGTATCTGAAATGTGACTGAAAGGTCACTGAAATGTATGTGCCATTCAGTGGCTGAATGGCCACTGAAAAGTTACTGAAAGCAGCCTTTCAGTTTTAACTGAAAGGTCTTGTTTCTTCCTGTGATTTTTGAGCTCATAATAATCTTCTTTAAAACTGTATGATATTCAGTAACCACACAAACTAATCTATACTTATAAATTAATAAATTTTGCAAATAAACTCCGAAACGGGTGCACAATAGTTCTTACTTACCCCTCTAATACTACACTACATACGAGATGATGTCCGTAAAGTATATTTAGATTTCACTCGGATAGTACGTATCATACAAAAAATTAAAAGTCTACTTAAATTTTCTGAAAACAGCCATGAAATAGCATCAACGTGAGTATTGTGGCGTTTCCGGTTGGCGGATCTAAGCTGCTGACAAATTTTAATGAAACTGACAGCAAACAATCTATTATTTATTTCATAAAATGTCATCACTGAATTATTCAATCAAAACTTGATTTAATTGATATCAAAGAAATAAGTTGTGGTAACCAATTAAAAGGCGAAAAGTGTAAATTATTTTTGTCAATCGCCGATCTCAATATTGACGGAAGCTTCTAGAACATCACGTCCCTTTTGCTACATTGTTTTAATCAAGAAATAATTATAGATATTGTAATTAACAGGTTATTTGATTAAATAGTTTTACAACAAATGATGATATATAAATTAGAATTCATTAAAAACAATAGCTTTGTAAAAACGAGCAAAATATGCTTGAAATTAATCAGAAACTTTTTGTTGCCGGGAAAAAAACTAATATTTATTGATACAAGGATTATATAAGTAAACAAATAGTACATCTATAGCGATCAAACGGTGGATTGTATGAGTA